CAACACTGTAACACAATGAGCGATATCCATTGGGACACCAATAGTATGCCATGGCAGATTTAAAAAAAAAAGACGGAATGACAGCGGAGGTAAGAAACGGCGCCTTTGTGACAAATCTGTTTTGTTTAAAGTGGATTTTGTGTTGTGGATGATCCAGGAGTGAAACACTGTTAAGACTTTACAAGAGGTTTACTCTTTTATCATTAGATGTTCTGATTTTTTTTTCTCAGAATTTGATGATTTGTTGTTGATCAAAGGATTTTTATTATGTTTCTGTCAATAAACGAATAAACAACTGATGCTCCTAATTTGTAGAATAACAGATATACTACACTTTGCATCGGGTCTATGCAGGGCCAATGTGTTCAGGTTCAAAACAAGCAGTCATACTACCACATGTTTTAGAAAAGAAAAATGACATTTGGACTGAACTGCAACTGGAAAGCACCCAAAAAAGAGCCGACATGAAGATCTAGATGTAGATGACTTGTAGCATATGCAAATTTTCTTCAAACATTCATGTAACGTTTGGATCATTTGTTGGAGGATTCAAGCATTAAATCATAGAACAACTCTTTGCACTGATGAGTCTACAATATTACAATGTATGTCAACGGTCTTAAACACAAGTCATTCATTTTGGGTTTGGGTCTGTTACAAATTAAACGAGCCAGATGCCGTTCCTTGTTCGACTGCATGCATTCAGGATGAAGGGCATTCAAATCGACTCCCTGCTTCCAGCTGAGACATCCAAACTGTGCCTAACAAGCTGTAATAATAATGACAAGTTTGGAAGATGTACATACCACACCGTTGGAGGTGTGCACGCCATTCAAGTTGATCTTTGTCACAAATTTGACAAACGGCGGTGAATCTGGGTATTCTGGCCCACATTCAACCTTGAGATTGTACATCCTGTTTTCATAGCTTGTCTGTGGACAGAGACGGGTAGTAAGAGGTGATTGGACAGCACGCTTAAACATCAACAAACAGCAGATTACAATCAATGCAGACAACTTCATTATGGTGGCGGAGAACACAGGTGATGCATGACCTGAAGGTTAAAAACAAATCTGTCCTCATTCAGGTCCAGGAGATTATTCGTGTGTCGTTTCCGCATACAGCTGAAAGCTTCCGTCTTGATTTTCTCTCTCTTTCTGAGAACTGTGCCCTATGATGCGTAACCTGTTGCTTCCTGTAGCTGCCTCAATTTCACTTTCACAGCGAATCGCGGCATCACTCATTACACTCTTCGCGTCTCTCTGTAGATTTGACTTTTCTTAGCTCGTGCGTCTGTGACGCGTAGACACCGCCGGCTTTTAACCTCCTGATAACAAACTGAACATTTCACATTAAAGCGTTCAAAAAAAATAATAATAACAATTGTGCGTCACTCACCCGTGGGGGGCCGAGGATCACTCCTCTCCACCGTGTTAAGGTCATGTCCTCATCATCCTCCAGACCCCAGCTAACCGTTCCATCTCCAACACCTTTCTGGCCTTCCTCCAGCTCTTCCAGGAGCCGGAAATTGCGGGGAACTTTAACGCCTGTTTTGTGAACACACACACACACACACACACACACACACACACACACACACACACACACACACACACAAGACAAAGTCAAGACTGTTAGGCTTACACGTGCACCACTGCAACCCAACAAAAAAAAAACCTGTATGCAATTACGATAATAAGCCAGTTAATATGCAAGGGGGCGTCTGCCTGAGCGATGACTTGCAATATGAAAAGGTCATGGCATGACTCACACTGTGTGACAGGGACATAAGGAATGCCTTGATTGGCCAGCTTTGAGCAGCCTGACATCAGTGGTAGATGTTATTAACATCATCTGGCCTGTGCTGTGCTGCATCATGTGGCCTTGTGCAGGCAGATATGACTGTGCAGTCCTCTTAACTGATCCATGCAAATGACAAGGCGCCCAGTGAAAGAGGTGCAGGCTGCAGGTTCCCTCTCCTACACATCTGCTCCCTGACTCTCTGCATGTTCAGTGTTTACATGATTTAAGAAGAAGGCTCAGAAAATGCGCGTCATCGTGGATGGGCACACGGGTTTAACATGAACAGATGACTGCAGGATGGGTTAGATTGACTCTTAATCCAGCTGAGCAGTTTGTCAAGCGGGTTTCTTGAAGGAGAACATGTTAAATAAATCATCAGGGTCTTTTTGATGGTTGGGTGGTGCTGCTCCGGTTACCGAGCGAAGCGAAGCTAAATGACGGTATTAAACACAAACCAGCGAGTTACACTTTCTTCCATCAGCAGATTACTGTACCCGGATGTTTATTCTGAATGTAACGGAACCTGAAGTCCCGGTAACGGCAGTGATAATAATAACAGCATGTCGTGGACTTGTCATAAGCTAAGCTAACGGTGTCGCTGCCGATTCACTGACTGAAGCTTTCCGTTAGCTTTAATGTTTCCTTAATCCTGTTTATTACCTGGATCGCATGAACAAAGTGATCCAGTCAATAAACAGCGCAGTCACTGGACTTGTTAACGACACGATTTGAATGAATGAAGCCGATCGTTTAAGTAAAGCTTATTATGGTGACTGATTTCTCTTACATTTACCTGATCCGGCGGCGACCGCCATCTTGTCGCTACACAGCGGGCACGCGCACGCGCACGTGGTTTTGCCATTGTGGTCAGCGGTGCGTGCGCGTGACCGAGACGCGGAGCTGCTGTCCTTTTGTTTGTTTGTTTGTTTGTTTGTTTGTTTGTTTGTTTGTTTGTTTCCGTGGGGGAAATTTGTGCATTACAGCAGCTCCAGAAAAACAGGGGACGGGAATATAAATAATAAAATAAAAATAGAAGTTAAAAATCAAATCAAACATATTTACATCAGTTAATATAATGATGGAACATTACACAGTATCTACACTGAAAAGAGTTATTAAAACACACACAGTATGTAGCATGAGGTGGTGATGCTGTTTGTTTGTTTGTTTGTTTGTTTGTTTGGCAGTAACTTCAATTTTTTCAAAAATGAGTTTTTGTCATTTTTGGAACATTGTATACAAACTGTTGTTTAATTTGAAATAAACATGCTTTGTCTGTTTAAATATCTATATGTTGCTTTAGGACTGTTTTCTGACCCAGGACCAGCGGAGACTCAGGCTGCTATAAGACTCGTACACATTGTGCGCTGTCTCTTCAGTCGATTTGATGTTCTCGTAACTCAAGTTGCTGCTTTACTTTCTGTCCACAGAGCACTTTGGTGGATGCAACAGTGGGATTTGTAGTTTTTGTTTTTTTTGTTTGTATTTTTTTAGTTTGTATAGTAATAATAAAGTTTATTTATATAGCGCTTTTCGCAAGACAAAGGTCACAAAGTGCTTTACATCAACAAAAAACACAAAAAAGAGCATATATACAGTGAAAGAAGAAAAAGAAAGAATGAGTATGTCATGGACAACATTATAAAATCCTGCTATAACCAGGAACAATAAAACATAGAGGAGTAGGTACACTGGGTGGACCTGATTCCCCATAGGCCTGTCTAAACATTAACGTTTTTAATTGTTAACGTTTTTAACATTACAGATGTGCTTTATTATGGGGGCCAAATTGTAGAATACAAAAAAAGATTACAGTCAATTATGGCTCAAATTTAACTCAACATATATCAGTGATCAAATATTATTATGGACATATTTCTGGTTTTTATGATTCCATGGCAGATTTTGTCACGTTTTCTTCATGTTTCCAATTAATTGATGTCTAAAAATTGACCTGAGGCCCTCAGGTCAATTTTGAGGGTTGATGGGGGCTGCATGTGGCCCCCGGGCAGCCAGTTGCCCACCCCTGATGTGGACAGATATCTTGAGTCAATTGTGTTGTTTGTTTGTTTTTTTTTTTGAGAAAATAGTAGGTTGTATTTGCCTTAACTTCCAAAAGCCCTGAGAAACCAAGGCGGAGTGCTGTAACTTCACTTGCTCAAACTGAGTTAAGGTCTTCTGCCTTTGTTTTCGCTGCGGATCAAAGTGAAGTCACTGTTTCACTGCAGTGGAGTTAAGGTGTTATATCTTTGTTTTAATATCTGTCATCAAGCACTTCTGACACACACACAGCAGCTTGACTGAAGTGGAGCAAAGAAATAGTGTTGGTTGTTGTTATTTTAACAATGCAACCAAGTGAAATTCAGTAACAAATGGAAGTGAATGCCTTTTGCCTTGGCATGACGCCTTATTATTATTGTACAGGCAATGCAAAAGGCAGAGTCCCCTTAACTTCCAAATAAGGGTCAAAGGTCATGTTTGAGCTAAAGATTTTTATGAACATTAATAACCTGATTAAAAAGACAAAGAATTGCCACATTTCCAATATTCTGCCTGCAACTCATTTGGCTGGACCACAAAAATACTTTAAAGTCATTTTTCTCAGTTCTACACTCTGGTGAGTTCAGGTCTTTTGCCTGTGTGGGGCAGATTAGTCCTCTGTCTGGACTACAGAAACTATTTAAAAGCTGGAGTGAAAGAAACCGAATGATGAACAAAAAAAATACAATTATAAATTCAGAATTTGAGAGTGAAACGTGATTGTTATGAAGGATATGAGTAGAAAATGTCTTAAATGTTTAAATCATATACTGCGAGTGGTTTAAATCTGAAAAAGTGACGAAAAACACAGAAAGGGGGACGAGGCGGCTGAAGGCAGCTGCATTTGAAATTCAAGTATTTTGACTTGTTAAAGTAGTAAGAAGATTATTATTATAGAAAAATGTAATCTAACTTTGTTTATCTAACCTTTTTTTTTTTTAGTAATTACACCTGGGCTTTCCTTATTGGGACTTGTCAAAAGGTCATCCTTGAAAGGCACATTTTTATCCTCTTATTTAACAGTGGAAGCCCAGATAAGCCCATAGAGGCAAAACATGAGGAAAGTAACTAAAGGAAGAATGTGCATCCTGATTATAACACTTAAACATCTTTAAACTAAAGCCAAGAAAGACAATTATTAAAGAACACAAGTAGAGTAAGTATCAACAGTTTATTTAGTTTAGTTATAAATACAGTTTAATATATACATTGTAAGTCTCCCAAATTGAAGACAACAAAAAGGCATCAAGGCATTATTTTGATATCCAAAAGTCCATCACCACCTGCTTCCTTAACCAACAGCAACATCCACATGAGTCCTGCCTGTGAAGAAGTATGAGGCATGTGATGGTCAATTTAAAGTCAGTTAATAATATGTCTTACCCATATCGCTGGTTAAGATTTACAGAACATTAATGGGGGGAGGATAAGGCAATTAAATTCATGAATCCAAAGGTAATTACAAAAGTGTTTCAACAAAGCATGTCAAACAAACGGACGACGCCTGCCCTCACCACTTACCAACAAGTTCACTTGCTTTCACAAACGCACACGGTCGCAAAATCCCCTTCAATTCCACCGATGAAAACCCATCGTCTCTAAGCATGAACAAAAAAAAAACGAACCCTCGGCTTAATCACAAATTCTAAGAGTTAACTGTAGTCATGATATATGGCTGCAGGAGAATCTATAATGATTTTCAAATCGGTCACTATCTTTGGCCAACAGAATTTGACAGAAATAAATAATTTGAACTACTTAAATCTAGTAAACAACGGCCAGAGGTTTGCTAATGGAGAGTTTGATTTTTAACAAATTCATTTTTAAACGACGTGAATTACTCCAACAAGAATCCTGAGATCATCTGAAAACAATAAGAAAGAAAACGTGAAAGCAGGTCAGATCTGTCCTTATAGCCAGACTTCAACTATCATTACAAGTCTTTCTGAGAGCACTCAGTATTTCATACATGGGCTCTACAGTCATTCCCACATAATCATTTTCAAGAGCTTTCAGTCTTAAAACTAATTATATGATTACATGATGTCTTGTCTAGTATTTCTAACATTATAATAAACTATTGTCTTATTTTAAAGCAGTGAAAATGTCTTAAAAACATTATTCTTGCATCTTATTATAAAAAAAGCTATTAGCTGAAGCACTTGAACATCCATTAGAGCCAAAGCAAAATGTCTTCTTTAGGAGACAAGTTGTCAGTCAAGGTTCAAATGTGTCTACTTAATGCAGTTAGCGGTGCCCAAACAACATCTGCCTGATACTTTAAACTATGATGCAGTCGCATGTATTGCACTACCTTACACGCACAACACCCCCCTCACAATACTCTAAGTGCACTAAGCAATCTGCAGTGTACTTCTGCTGCTGACCTATGGTGAATCATTGTATATAATCAAGTATGAAGGATTCAATTTCTGGAATACATACATACATAAAATAAAAAAAAAACAATTTTGGCTTAAAAATCTAAATTGTTCACTTTGAATATAACGGCAGAAGCTTGTTGTTTTGGCATGATCGACACAAGGTCACCATCTCCAATTCAATTCTGAAAACCCCTGCTACTGTAGGATGTCCTCAGAATGAAGACGACAGTTCAAACTTGGTACCATTTGGTAAAGATTCAGGGTCATTTTTTGAGACCAATTACAGGAAAGCAGGTGACCCAATAAAATGTCTTTGCACAAGCCGACATGCGGTATGCATTATGCATGCATCCTTAAGATTGTGTAAGTGACATCTTACTCAGTAAAGTCAATTTGTCATGCAGTTCATTTTTTTTTTTTTTAAAAGCTATGTTTTTCAGCTCCAGTTGTCCACCTTTCCCAACATGTTTAAACAATGAGAAAAAGAAAGGCATTTCAACCTAATCAGATGATTAAGACGTAGAGTTAAGGGCCTCTTAATACACTGCATAGTTATTGACTGTACATTACATTTACAAACCACAAAGAGCTAAACATAAAACAATCACATAATCTCATCTGTTCCAGGTTAGTCAGTCTTCACCGAAGCCCTTGTAACATCACCGAGTTCAACTTGTCATGGTTACCAAGACGGTACACAGTGGCAACATTACACGCGCGAAAATGTTAAGACTCTCGAGCCGACGCTTCCTACCCACGATACAAAAGAAAAGCAGGATGTGACGAGTGATATCAAGGCTACAAACAGTTGGCACAACTTTGGAATATCTGCGTCTGATCGACTGAGACACACATCCTATAAAAGACAGAATAACTGTTGCAAAGACACGCAAATGCTGCAAAAGACAAAACAGCAAAACAACAACAAAGAAAACAGAGACACCATTACTGCATCTGTGGTGTGTAAGGCAGCTGGACAAAAGTGAACATGCCTCGTTCTCACAAAACTGTCTGTCAAATATAAACTGAAAATGCTCCTCAGAGGACACGTGATCAGCATGTGAGGAGAAAGCTTAGCAGGGCCGGATTGACTCTGCAGAACGAGACCACTGTTTGTGTATTTGTCGAGATTTTCAAATCAACTCTGACTGCAGTTACATTTCAACGTGACTTTTCTCCAATCAAATTAAATAGCCTCAAAATGATAAATAAACTCCAATCCAAAAGATAGAGAAGGAGAAAGTTTTGTATCGACTCTTGCAGTGTATCTGCAGCCATTGACTCAGTTTGACTTTAACTATTAAACATGGCTCTGTCTTATTGATGTGAATTACTGGCTATTGCTATTTGACTTTTTAAATAAAAGGTTGATTAACATATTTCTAATCACTGCCCATTTTTAACAGTCCCAAATGTGCAAGGATAAAAAAATGTAACATTTCTTAAGCAGTTTGTTCTTTAGCTATAAACATTGGTAAAGCATCCAAACATCCTACATCAACTCAGCCCTGCAAATTACCACGGACCAAATCACCTTTCTGACTTGAAACATGGACTGGTGATTAAACAGTGGAGATGCAAAGAGTGATCCAGAGAAAAGAAAGTGCTAAAAAATACTGTGATTTATCCACTCCAAACGAACAGTTGTGTCTCTGCAGGTGACAAAAAAAAGTGAGTGTTCACTCTTTCAAGAACTCTTCCTCCCAGATTTTTTTTTTGACAACTGAGAGAATCGTTTTCTCTCCTCTGAAAGATATTTTCAATCGTGTGTCAGACACCTTCTTTGCAAAAAGCATCTTTAAGTCACTGTTAAAAAAATGTGATAAGTGACATACACAACGAGTTTAGGATATATTGCATTTTGAAATAATGATCTTTGTGAGTGATGAAGAATATTCCATTAAGAGAGCCCTCCTCTTGACAGACAAAATGTGCAAGACTTAAAGCTATGGCATCGGAAACTGTTTGTTAGTTGTTTTTTTTTGTCTTATGGATTAAAGTTTAAGTGAGGCAAAAAAAAAAAAGGGGGATGAGAAGTCTGGACGGAGCCAGCATCTTCTGAGGTAGGGTGCAGTCAGCCTGCAGCGTTACTTGACTTTCTGAGCCCATTTCAGGTCGTCTGCTCGAGGCTTCTCTCCCGTCACACTCTGGATCAGATCCTCCAGGTTCCTCCAGAAACCCAGCTTCTCCAGAGGGTAGTTCAGCCATCCTGCGGGAGAGAAAGCTCAGTGACAATATGCCCAACCTTCATGCAATAAATGTAAAGATTTCAGCTCAATCTCAATGTGTGCCGTTTGCTCGGACCCTAGTGTCAGACTGGATAGGATCCCTTTTGGAACCAGGTGCAAGGGTAAGGAGTTAAAACCAAAACCTCAGAGGGGGAAAAAAATCACTCAAAGAATTTATTTTGATTTAAGTTTTTGTTGAATTTTGAAATGTGCTTATGTTGCACCAAACAAAAGAAAATTATAAAAAATAACAACAACCCTATTACACATTCCTCGGCATCTTCATCAAACTTGAACTTCCACTTCCCTGCTTCCCTCCATCATATATACAATGAATGTACGGCTTTCTTCAAACCCACTTTTTTTTTTTCACTCTGCAACTTTATTCTCCACAACCACATTTTGGTTTGAGCAACAAAGCCACCTTAAACTGGACCGTTTGATCAGCATGGAAGATTAGAGTCAGGACTGAGGATCACCTGAACACAGAATGCACCCGCCTGTTTCTGAACTCAGCTCATTTAACCTTTGATGGCTTTTCTGACTGTGTACTCCTGTTGTTTGTTTGTTTGTTTTAAGCTTCGTTTGTTTAGCCACGTCTCACCTTATTAAGACACTTCACACCTCAATTGGAATATTCAGACTTAAAGTAAGAACATATTTCAAAAGAAAACTTATAAAACGTGAACATGATTATTTGCTCAGCTATGTGATTCTTTCCCCACACTGCCACAGTATGCAAAGCATTCTGGGGATTTTCTTTTACAACCTTGTTTAGAGTCTGCATCTGAAAACACTAAACTATACTGCCCTGAAGCACAGACAAGCTGAGATTTATGGTGAAGTGGTCAGGGGGGGGGGGTTAGGACTGGAATGAAACACTATGCCCAGGCAATTGTTTTTATTTATAATCCACATGATTTAAAAAAAAAAAAAACAGACAAACCTGTAGTGATGCAGAAGTACGTCTCGTGGGGGGAGACGTGGTGGATGCGGTGGTGCTTGCGGGGAAGAATGATGTGACAGTCCTGCAGGAATGTCACCCAGCGAGGCAGGCCGAAGTACGTATGAGACCACTTGTGAATCTGGTTGGTAAGCGTCACAAAGATGGCGAGTGCAAACAAGTAGCAGTACAGCGGGTAGAGTTGATATATCTCCGCTGCACAAAAGGAGACACAAACAGCCGTTATGCATTGTCATTTTGAAGTAAAAGATGAGGAAAGGACAGGGAGTTTTCAAGTAGAATAAAATGTCAGGCTTGGTTTGTCGAGTGAAAACTCACCAGGGGAGAGGGTGAGGAAGTTGAAGGCCATGTTTGCTAGAGGGACTATGGTCAGCATGCAGTTGTCACCATTGGTTTCGATGAAATCGTGACGGGTGATGGCTGTGGGGTCGATGTGGTGCTCTCGAAATGGTCGTATAAAAGCCTGCAGGACGGATCAGACCATCCGAATAGAAGGGAAAAACAAAGAATAAAGCACACTGTAAACACGGGGGAAATGTTGTGGAACATTTACACTACAAACATCAGATTAAAGTTTAGAGAAAAAAAACAACTCAAGGATGCGTTACCTTTCCAAAGACGGGTAGATCCACTGATCCCCATGTGTCAGCCCCCCAGTGCACAAGGCCAGACGCAAAGTCCGCGGTCAGAATTCCTGCCACTAAGGATGAGAGGGAAAAGAAATGAAGGAACAAGCAACTCTTGTTCCGACTGCCGCTCTGAAAAACAACAGAACTGATGATAATGCAGCATCAGAACATTACATAATCCGCCTGTCAGTACTCACCAATGCTCAACAAGATGTACCACAAGTGTCCCAGATGGAAATTGGCAAGTAGGTGAATGAAATTGAAGGCCATGAGAGAAAAGCAGAGGATAACGCTCAACCATTCTTGACATCTTTTGCCTTAAAAAAAAAAAAAGACAATTTATTAGTATGATTTTGTTTGTTTGACATTTTCCGATACGATTATCAGTCATAAAGATGAACTTGATGATCAAACATTTCAAACTGAGATGACCAAAGTTCAGTTAACTTGTCAGCAGAATTTACTATCAGATGCTTCTTCACAACAGAGACAGTCAGCAATGCAGCATTCCTCTGCACTTCGCTTGACCTGTGAGCAGCTTGGCTTGAAATACCTGCTGTCACCAAATGACAACTGAGAGAAGATGAACTTTAATGTTAAACCAACAGTCTATGTGAGGCACGAGCTTCATGTTTAAATAGTTAAAGCCGCCAAAGTATGATCCTCCACAAGTTTAAGGGAGCTCAGTAGACATTTAGTATTTGTACAATGGGCGTGAAGACTTACTCTTTGCATTCAAGCCTCTACCACATGAACGAGTGTGGGAGTACTTTCATAAGAGATCAAAACTATCTCCACACCTTTACTTTCTTGTGATATGGCTCTTTGAGTAGCAGAGAGCTTTGGCTGACTGTTATGAAAGGTCGCAGCAGCAGCAGCTCTATGGCCAAATGAGGCTTCTGAGCCTAAAGCAGAGGCAGTGAATTCTTCTAACATCTGCCTGATGCTCGAAATGTCAAAGGACAGCAGCCACTCCAACACCAATTCCACCAATCTCACATGATTCCTATTGTGCAACGACAAAAGTGCGACTGTGGCAAACACAGAACTGTGGCTGATTGTTCGGTGTCATTAAACAGTCGCAGTTAAAGATACACCGATGTGTAGCATATAGACTCTTTGGTTTATTACTTGGCAACTAATACGCGGTATGCAAAACCTGTCGTTATGTCACGCCACTCGTGGATACTTGAACCGGGTGAACAAGCCCATAAGAAGGAGCTATTGAGTGGTATCGACTCACCTGGTGAGTATAAATTGGCCAATTCTCGGGCCCCGGCGTGTTGCGGACCCCATCTCACAGCACCCCGGCCTGGTCCCTGTGGCTCTGGGCTCTGGGTTTCCCCTTCACAGCCGTTCTCGTTCACCATTCTCGCCATTTCTCCGCTGTGGGCCCAGCCCCTTCAATTTCTGTACTCACAGTGAGGAACCAACGGAATCGTCAACTTCTCAGCCCACAGACAGCGCACTGTTTTCAGCCAATCACGTCCGAGTCGATGGAGCGCAGCAGCCAATCGCCGGGAAAAGAAAATGTTCCACAGACTGCTGAGTGTCCAATGGGAGCGGCGATTTTAGAGGACCGCATTTCCTGACCCCACCCGTCCTGTATGTGTCCACAGTGCTCTGATCTGAGCCCTCTGCTGGATGTGGAGCGGATCTGTCTGTGCGGGGACACGACAAAGCAGGTGTTACCGCGACATCTGTTACCTGTCAGATTTGAGATGCTGCAGCTAAAACTGTCAGGTGAGGTGCAAACAGCCATAGTGTGAAAATGTTAAGTGAAGTTATATACTTTAAAAAAAAAAAGAGAAGGCCACAATAAGACATTCTCCCCTGGTCCAATTCACGAGTGTTAACTTTTTATTCTCTTTTACTTTTCCACCGTGTCCCTCAATTGTAGAGCCTACATCTATACCTGACACTTCTTGAAATAATGAAGAATTTGAGAATTAGAGTTGACTCAAGCATTTACCAAAATCTCCTTACTGCCATTTGTTGCAACAGTTGGTACTATCGAGTTGCTGGGTGTTAAATTTCGTTAATATTTTGAGCTTTTAGATGGCTCTCTGAGGCCTAGTGTAATGTTGCTCCTGGTCAGAATTGGGGGATTTAAAATAGCTGTTGAAAATGGAGGCAATTCTCAATGTTTTTTTCCCTTTGTAATAAATTGGAGTAGCCTTGTATGAGCTGCATCATCTGTAGATAAAGTACAAACTACATGTTAACTTTCCCCCATTCACTCCCCTTGGTTTTAAACAATCAATTATATTGTATTGTCAAATGAGTGTGTTGGAGTGAAAAGTCTCGTACCTTCCTCTAAAAATGGAATAGAGTAGATCATTTAAGAAAAATGGGAAAAATAAATGGGACCTAAATACCATTGTACTTTATTTCTTTACAGCAATGCTCAGCCAGTAGACACTGGCAAACATTTTGTGCAACAAGAAGTTCACACAATATGTGATCTTGTATCGAAATACTGTATAGCATACTGTGTGAGTACATTTTCCTTCAATACTTATATAGGCTACTTGTGTATGACTTAAATATTTCATTTTTTCTTCATTCTACACCAAACTACATATGAAGTAAACATTGTACTACTAAATACACTGCATTTATGATGCTCATATATATATATTTCACAATTCACCATTTATAAAGAAGTTCCTTAATGATCTTATCCCAGCACATAATTACTCTCTTGTTCTTTTTTGGGGTTTATGCTGAAGTTGGTGTGATATCTGCATTCGGACCTGGGAGGCGACAACATGGATACACAGCAGGTTGTGAGTCAGGAAAATGTTGTTCCTTTATACTGTTTGTGTCTTCTCTATAGACTTAACATTTTCGGTAAAAACAGACAGCTGTTAATCCAATCAATTTGAATAAATAAATAAAAGTCAGAGAGAAACTGAAACCACCTGCTCAGTAAAAGTGAGTCAGTGTGTTTATAATTCTGGGAAATGTTCTGAATACATTCCCAAACAGATGACAAGTGTTTTTGGCTGCACACCATGAAAAATGTTGGTGAAAAGATATTCAAAGCGTGGAAAACACTGCTGTTATAATGTTGTGTACACTCCTGCAGCTGACCACAAGATGGCAGTATGACCTTGCATAAAATACAAACCAACTCAGCCATAGGAAGCCAGTCAAACAACCTGTATGCATTTTAGGTCTTAGACCCATTGAGCATGTGCATATAATGTTTAGACCGTTTGGACAGCTGGACCAAGTCGCTGTGTGCAGCTATTAACGCTTTTTGTTTGTGATAATGTTTGTATTGATTGTTATATTTAACATGGAGTGTTTCTAAGAAAAAAGCATGGTGCGTCATGTGAAAGTTAAGGAAAGTATTTAAAAGCTGACATTTGGAGCTTGTTGAAAACACTGATCTGAAACCAGCCTGACTACATTTCTCAAAACTCCAGCCGTGACCCCCCCCCCCAACAATACTGAAGAGGATGCTTTACACACAAACACACACATTAGTTTGAACTAATCTGAATGCTGCTGAAGTCAAATGTCCTTCGAGGCTTCCTTTATTGGGCTACACACATTTTTATAGGCTACACATAAACTTGTAAAATGCTGGACACTGACAGAATACGATTGTTGTTATTGTCTAATTAATGCATTTTGTCTCTAGAGGGCGTGAAAGGCCGGGCTGCTGTCAGTACTCAACACAGTCTGTTTAGACTGTTTTCACTTGGCTCAGTCTTACGCATTTGGCGTTGCTCTGAATTTCTTTGAGTCCGAGTCTTCGCCATAAAGGAGACACATTAAAACAGCGAGGCAATGTTTTTATTTTGTCCCGACTAAAACACTTAAATGCGGGAAAGACTCTTAAATTTAAAAAAAAGTAGCACAGGTTGTCCGTTGGCTCCTCGCCGCGCGTCACACACCTGAGCCCCGCCCCGCGCGTAATAAAACCCCTTGAGACAGGAAGATCTGTCAATTCCCCCCAATCCACGCTCACTGCCTGCCCTCAGTAGGTTGCTCTACTTGCTGTCAGCCACAGGCAAGTGACACCGGGGCTTTAAACTCAAACAATCGCCACTCTTTTGACAGTTCACAACTGAAGAATAAAAGAAACTCAGGGCGTCTCATCTCAGCCCTCCATGCTCCTGCAATCCAGTGGGTGTTAAATCCATGGAAGTGGCCGGATTCT